TATAATTATATAATATATTATATATATTATGTTATATTATATTGTATTATATTATAATGAATGAATGAATTTGCAAATGAAGAAACTATGGCTCCACTGTAGATGTGAATTGCCCACACAAGTCAGCAACTGTGGAAAAAATTGTAGGTTGTCCCTCAATATCTCTTTGCCCTTTCACACATGGCGAAAGACTACATTCCCAGACTCCCTTGCAGGTAGGTGTGGCCATGTGATTAAATCCTGGCTGATGGGATATCAATGGAAGTGATGCGACCACTTTCTGGGTTGTGCCTTTAAAAGGAAGGAGAAGGGTTCCTGCCCCCTCCCCTTGTCCTCCTTCTGCTGATTGGAACGTAGACAGAAGGGTTGGAGGTGGAGCAGCCATCTTGGGCCACAAGGGGGAAGATGGCAGAGCAACAAGATAGAAGGAACCTGGATCTCTTGTGATTGGTGAAGCCACCATGCCAGCCTTAACTGCCAAGTATACTTTAACGTGAGGGAGAAATAAGTTCTGTTTTATTGAAAACACTATTGTTTTGGGTCTCTATTATAGGTGTCAAGCCAATGTCCTAAAAATATAGCAGCAGAGCCAGCAGCAGAAGCCAGGCTCCTTGATTTTCCCCACTCAGGTCCTTTCCGTAATCCACCCCCCCCCCATATATTTTATTTTCTCCCACATGTTTTCTTGTTCATGACCTGATCTGTTCCTCACAACAACTCTGTGAAGTCCATAGCAGAGACAGGATGTCCGTGATGTTCACTGGGCAGAGAGGGAACCCAGGAGGTGAGAATGGTAGGTGATCTGCCCTGAGGCACATGGGCAGAGTTATTCCCATCTCTTGGATGGGGCAAGTGGGCTCAGAGATGTCATTTAGTTCTGCCTCCATGTCTGCCTCCTAGTCTAGGGTCCTACCCAGCCTTTGGTGCTGTCCCTTATTGTACCCTGGGCACCTTTGCTCTCATCCCCACTTCTCAAAATACAAGTGAGGTGGAAGTTTAGCAGAGAGAAGCCTCCGCATTGTGACAGCCTCGAGCCCTCCCAGCCTCCCGTCCCACCATGCAAGCACACACTAACACACCAACCAGAGGGGGCACAAAGATGGAGTCCAGCTGGCATGGGGGGCCAACACCACCTCTC